ATTGTTTGACAAATGAACTCTTGCAAATATTTAGGAATTAACATCCATCTTTCACAAACTCTTCAGGGAACACTTCCAGTTCCTTTTATAGGACCAATATAACCTTGACTCAAAAACATGACAATATTTCAAGAAAAAAATTAATAGAGCAATTTCTCTCTTAAGCGTAAGTGCAAAAACCCTAAAATAAATGTGAATCCAGGAAATATAATCAATCCCAAACAAAATGTGAATCCAGCAATATATAAAAATGACAAGCTTCATGATGAAAAGGGGTTTATTCCATAAATGCAGGGTTGGTTTAGCATTTAAGAATCAATAAATATAATTCATTGTGTTAAAAGATAAAAGAATAATTATGTGATATTTTCAGACGCAGAAAAAACATGGTAAAATTTAACATCCACTTATGATTAAAAAAAACTTAGTGAATTGGGAGTAGAAAGGATCTTCTTTAATCTGATAAAGCATAGCTACAAAAATTTTATATTGACATCATACTTAACAGTAAAATATTAAAAACTTTTCCCCTGAAATCAGGAATGAGATAGAAATTCTCACTATCACTACTTTTATTCAAATTTATACTAGAGACTTTGTCCAGCATCATAAGGTAAGAAGAAGAAAACTAAAAGATATAAGATGGGGAGAAGCCAATGTCATTGTTTGCAGGTGTCATGATAGGATGCATAGATAATCCAAGGACTCTATATAAACAAAGGATTAGAATTAACAAATGAATTTTGCAAAGTCACTGGGAACAAGGTCAATATCTAAAAAAGCCAATTGTATTTGTATATGCAACATCCAGAGTATGAAATAAATTTTTAAGTGTTGTTTATAATAATATTAGAACACATTAACCAACTAGGAGTAAACCTAAGAAAAGACATATAAGACCTCTCCACAGAAAATCATAAACTATTTTCAAGAGAAGATACAGGGATCCACCACACTCATGAGTTGTAAGTCTCAATATTTTAAGACAGCAAACCCCCAACTTGCTCCCTGGAGTCAATATCATCATAATCAATATCCCAGCAGCTAGTTTGTGAAATTTAACAAGCTACTCCTAAAATTTATATTGAAAATGCAAAAGGCCAATAATGATGAAATCAGTCTGGAAGAACAACAAATTGGGGACTTATACTAGCAGGTAGAAGAACATATAATAAATCTACAGTAATTAAAATAGTGTGGTATTAGCATAAGGATAGACAAATAGACCAGTGGGATAGAAGTCTGTCCATTGCAGTAGCCACTAGTCACATTGGCAGTTTACGTTTAAATTAATTTCCTCAGTTGCACTAGCTGCATTTCACATGCCCAGTAGCCACGTGTGGCAAGTGGTTGCTGCAATGGACACCACAGGTAGAGAACATTTCCGTCACTAAAGAAAGTTCTATTGGACCATGCTGCTTCAGAGACAGATTCACCATAAATGGAAATAAGATGTTTGACAAAGGTGTCCCTGAAGATGAGTAGAAAAGAACAGTCTTTTCAATAGTCTTGGTCAGATGATAGCCATCTTTGAAAAATGAATCTCAGGTCCTACCTCACTTCACACACAGCAATCAATTCCCTGTGGGTTCTGAGTCTAAATGCAAGAGGCTGTGGAACCTTCATGCAAGGGAGTAACATCCAGCAATGGAAATGAATGAAGTGCTGGGAACAGGCTGAACCTCAACACCAAGGGTGAATCTCACAAACAGTATGAGATCACTTGGAGCCAGAAATAAAAAAGAACAAGGTGTATGGTTTCCGTTTACATGAAGTTCAAAAGCAGGCAGAAAGAACTCTACTGTTGGATAGCAGCTACCTTTGAGAGAGGGGAGGTGACTGAAGGCTGCCCACATGGGCTTCTGAAGTCCTAGGAATGTCCTCTCTCTCGAGTGGGCTGTGTCTACAGGAGAGTCCAGTCTTCATCAGCATCTTCTGTGCACTTTTCTCTATGGGTGTTATTTAAAAATGTTTTGTAAAGCAACCCTTGGACTGATACGGAAAAAGAAAGGTAATTCTTGCTGACTGAATGATTTTAAAAAGTGAAGATTCTGTCTAAAATGTTTAGATAGGCAACAATTTTAAGTCTGAAAGTATCAGGTATAGGGTATGGAGAAAGGGAGATATTACTGGTAGGAGGGCCAATTAACATGTGTTGTAAAGTTGGAAAGGTGTGCACCTTGCAACCAGACAGTTTTGCTTCCAGACACAAATCCTAGAGAAATTCTTGCTCATGTGCACAAGGAGACATGGGCAACAGTGCTCATTTCAGGAAAGTTTATAATAGAGGAAAAAAAAGAATAATTGAAGTAACCAAAATGCCTAACAGAAAAATGGATAAATAAAATGTGATTTTTTTTATAAAGTGAAAAAAAAAAAGTAAAAAGAAAAAATATATATATATATATATATATATATGCAAACATAATCACAGAGCTCTAAAAATACTGTAATGGATGAAAAAAGCAAGTTGCAGAATATGTTTAACATATATATGGACATTTTTAAAGTATAAAACAGGTCTAGATATTATTCTCTGATGCATGCATATGTCACTCAATTTTTAAATGGCTGCAGGATACACTGGGCACCGAAACCGTGATAGCAGCGGCCTCGGGGCGGGGGGGGGGGGGGGGGGCCGGGGAGGAGACCGAGATTGAGGATGGGGACAAATTGTCACATGGAAACTGTCCCTTTGTTTTCATTGTTCTGTTTCCTTTTTTTTTTTTTTTTTTTAAGCAAACATGACAAAATGTTAACATTCTAGGTGTTGACTTGCAGGATGTTAGTCAGATTATTCCTTGTAATTTTCTCTTTGTTTAATTTCTCAATAAGAAAAAAATAGAGCTGACATAATAGCACCTTCTGTCATTTAGTCTTAGACTTATTTATTGTTTAGATATTTTATGTTCCTGTTTGTTGTAAGAAAAAAATGTATATAAATATAAGTTTAGCCGAGACATCTAAATTTCCTCTCTTTGTTTATGTTTGCAAAGCATACTTGTTTGATTTAACATTCTCTGGTATCAAAATGTGTCCTTTGTGCGAGCTTGTGAGGAGTAAATCATGAGGGCTCACAGTCCCACCACAGTCTGTGTATTAAGAACGCATTTCCTACGATAGACATCCTCTGCGCCTCGATCTCGGCAAGCATCCGTTTGTATTGGAGCCAAAATATCCACAAGCAGGCAGAGAAACAAGAAGTCAAAAAGATCTGCTGTTTGGTGCTAAGGATTTGTTGGTACATGATTGTGAAGACTGAAGGTCTAAAACCACCGATGTTTATTGGCTCCGTCTCCAGTATGTCCCTCCAGGGTCATTTCCACAAGACTGACCAGAAGAACAGGACCCTGCCTTTTCCCCCACAAACAGTGCTTCCCGCAGGAAGCCCTGGGCAGCAGCACAGGAGGCCGGTTTGGCAGGGAGGAGGGTCAGAGTCTTTATGACAGGTTGGTGGACAAATGGGCTAGCCGCCATGGCGGACAGCGGGTTGTTCCTGACATAGCACACACACACATAGCTATTAGCCCTTGGGTGGGTGGTCTGGGAGCCTTTGGAAATACACCCAAGGTGATTTGCTGTGACCATGTTTGAAAAGTTGACAGGTAAATGTGGACTGAAAACAGACTAGATATTTTAGAGTTAGGCCCCAAATCGAGGCTTTTAAACATGCACAGGTATGACTGAGGTGGGGACCTCCATATCTTGTCCTCACAGATAGACCAGGTCTTTTTTTTTTTTTTAAGATTTTATTTATTTATTAGAGAGAGAGCACAGCGGGGTGAAGGGCAGAGGGCGAGGGAGAAGCAGACTCCCCACTGAGCAGGGAGCCCAACAAGGGGCTCAATTCCAAGACCCTGGGATCATGACCTGAGCTGAAGGCAGACACTTAACCAAATGAGCCATCCAGGCGCCCCCTCCACCAGGGTGTTTAACTAGAGTAGAACTCAGGTCTTGCTTGCTGCACCTTATTCACTCTTCACAAGCAGGCCACAGAGGGAGCTATCCAAAAGAAGGAACTGAGCATGCTCATTTCAGACCTTTTGTCTGTCTAATTTTAGGGCCAGCCTTCCCCCAGGATATATGTAAGCACTCAGGTCTGCTCTCAGTTCCGAGGGAGCCCAGTGGGTGTCCCGCAAGATCAGTGATGAGTGATTTAGTCTTTCTAAGTCAAGGGTCAGTTAGTAGAAAGGCCTCTCTGCCACAGATCTGAAGCTATCTTCTCTTCAGTCAACTTTATCAGTAACAAAGGCAATTATTTTTAACTCCGTCTGGTCTCCACCTTTCAGTTGGTTCCAAATTCAAGAAGGTGGGGGAGTAGGTACTATTAACTGCTCCCCTCAAAAACCTAATAGTCAATTAGTATAAGACCCCAAGATGATAAATTAAGGTAATCCAAGAATTTGTATACCAATTCATTCTTACACCCATAATTATCCTGTTTGAATAGTTAACTGAGCGTTGCTCAGTTAGTTTTAGATTTCATCAGTGTGGTTAAACAAATAAATATAGTACTATTAATCATGGCATGACTGAACTCTCATAGCTTGAGAGAGACTCCATTAAAATGTACATGTTATAATCTATTTCATTATCTACATAGGGATAAGTATATATAGAAAATGTATTCATCTAATCTGATCATTTAACAGCAGAAAGAAAAGAGGCACACACAGAAAACAACCTACCCTGCTATAACGGAACTCTGTTTTACATAGGGCCAGCTGTACATTGGCAGAACATAGTGATTTTAAGGATGAATTAGTGTTCTAATCTCATTGGGATTCCCTTTATATTTGTGGTGGTTTATGACTGATGTTTAATGGAACTATAGCTTTCTGTTTATATTTAATAGAAGATTCATTTCTGTGGTGGGATACACATTTACACTCCAGAGTTGAATAAAAGCTACCATTCTACAAGGAGGATATTAAGTGTTGATTTATAATGACACATTTCAATAACAGTGACCTAAATGCTTCCACACTGTTTCTTCCCAGGTCCTGGGAAGAGCCTAGCTCCAGCAAAGGATGATTCTTCTCATCCGGAACATTTCGCCTTCAACACATCTCTCCATGCTGCAATTAGACACAGGAATTGGAAACTTCTCACTGGCTACCCAGGTAGAATGCTGAGCATTTCCCCCCAGAACAGCGAGGAAAATTTTACCAAAGTGATGACTGCCTTTTGCAGAACATACCTCTGGGGCTGCTGAATGAGGAATGGTTTGATCTCCTGTCCTGACAAAAGAAGACTGAGCATTAACTGTAGGTGGGGGGTGAAAGGAAGCAATGTCACTGTAATGTGTCGTGGAAAATAAGGATTTCAGAGATGTGTGGCTGTCGCGCACAGCTCGTCTAGCCAGCAAGGAAAATCTCTGAAAGCTACATCCTCAACCAATTGCAGAGCTGAAGGAGGTGGTTGCTTCCCCTGAGCACATTCTCTAAAAGTGACGTCTTTTACATACTTTTAAAATGTGGGTTGTGATGGCTAAGACTGTGATGCCATTAGCAGTGTTTATAATGATGACATTCTTGGCATTTGTGGCCAGATAATTCTTTGTCTGGTGGTGCGCCGTGTATTGCAAGATATCTTAGCTTCCCTGGCCCATGAGCACGGTATGCCAGTAGCAGCTCCCCTAAGTCACTGTGACAACTGAAAATTCCCCCGCCCCCACCCACACGCACGCACTTTCCTGGAAGCCCCTGGTTGTGAAGCCCTGAACCATGTCTGGTTAAAGCACCAGAAGTCAGAGACTGAGATAGATGTTGGTACAGCGTCAAGGGCCGCATGTTTGTCATGTGTTCCTGCCCACGTCCCCACTCAGCCTTCTCCCCCAGTCTCCTTCCTTGAAGTGCGAACCTGCCTATGATGCTTCTCCCCCAGTAAACTCTTGCATTTCTTTGCCAGGCTGTGGTTGCTGGTTTCCTCCACCGTCTCAAAACAATGTTTCTGTGATACCCTCATCGGACCCACCGACCAAGACCCTCTGGCTCTTTGATATTGACCAGGACCCAGAAGAAAGACATGACCTGTCAAGAGACCATCCCCATATTGTCAGGCAGCTCCTTTCCCGTCTGCAGTTCTACCACAAACACTCGGTGCCCGTGCACTTCCCGGCGCAGGACCCGCGCTGTGACCCCAAGGGCACTGGGGCCTGGGGCCCATGGATGTAGGACTTCTGCAGCCCTGGGGAGCCAGACCACCTTTCTGGTACAAGTTGGACTGCAGGCCTTTACTCCTGTACCTCTTGTCTCATTTGCTCTCCCAGCCTGGGTTCCCCTGGCCCTTCTCTTGTTCCTCAGCCACGCTGAGGTGTCTCGTTGCAACCCCCAGTGCATTTAAGAAGCTGATAAAACCTGGAACACTCCTGTTGTTGGCCAGGGTGTGTGTCTAGGGGAGAGGGTGGCTGAGTTCAATCTCTTGTTCCTGAGCCATGGGACAGCTAGGGACTTGACTTGGAATAGGAGGTTCTCACTGAGTCCTGGAGGCTGTACAGCTGGCTCTTTTTGCCTCGCAAGTCAGATGTTAGATCTCCCTCTGCCAATAGCTGGGTTTTATTGGAGTGCCTCATGTTTCTTGTAACAAATGTAGGGAGCAGACAGCTTTTAATGGTTCTGTTGGCCAGGGGATCTCCCTGTCTGTGAGCTATCATGTTCAGGCATTCCATGTGAATAACCCCCCTTGGTTCACCCCTCACTTACTCACCCTGTCACTCATCTCATCATGGAGCGTAAGGCCCATTTCATAGCTACGGTCAGCATGGCAATATGCCTGCTTCTTGGTTTTGGTTATTACAATAAAGAAATGTGTTTTTATCCCCAGTTTTTTTTTTTTTCCAGCCACTGCTCATTTTGCCTAGACTTCCTGCTACCCCCTCTCCCCTGTGGTTCTTTTCCTAACCTCCTTTTGACTCAGGCATCCTGTGCCTGGGAAGGCTGCTTCGCCTCTCCACTCTGAGCACCACTGGTTTTTGGAAGACGGCTGTGCCCTATCTTCCTTCTGTCGCTAACACTGAAGCTAAGAGCCCTGCCCAGAGAAGGTGGTCGAGTCTGGCTCTGCAGGCATGCTCATGGTGGACAAGAAGTGGCCGAGTGTCATTAACAAGTCTGTGTCATCCGTTTGGTGAAGACTTTTCTAAGTTGCAGAGTTTATTTTCATGATCATGGCTTTGTCTCATAATGTATTATGAGTTGCATGCTATTCCCTAGCAATTAGGAGAAACCCCAGGAAACAGTAATTTTGTCTTGGGATGATGGAAGTGGGCAGTTTGAAAGGAAATGGCCAGCATCTGAGATATTGGGCTTCAGTAAAGCAAAGGAGAGCACACCCACGTTTCCCTTACTTTCACTTCTACTGCTTGTGTTGAGGTTCTGGGGTGGGGGAAAGAGGATGCACAGTTTGACCTGCCAGCCCTTTCGCAGTCCCACTGATGTCCTACTAATGTGGATCTGTCCAGATTAGCTCTCAAGAATGTCACACTCAGACTCAGTTTTGCTGTGTGCAGAAACTATACTCTTTTTCCCATGAGCTCCACTGTTTTGTTCACTGCTCGTCACCAATGCCTGGATCAGTGCCTGTTACAAAGAAGGTAGTCAGTACTTTTTTTTTTTTTTTTTTAATGAATGAATGGACAATTGAACAAAAGAGAAAGTCGCACACCATGCAAGTGCAGTGAGCTAAACACATCCTCCAACTGTTGCGTTTCTGTTCTCAAGCTGCCCTCCTGGGGTAGGAACAGAATTTGCATATCTGGATGGTCACAGACACTCCGTAGTGAAGCCATAATGTCCTCTCCAGGAGAGAAAAGGGGAAACACACCTGCCAAAGATACTCTTTTGGCAATAATCCTCCATTCTCTTCTTTGTAGGACACTAGAAACTAAAACCAGCCAACAATGTGCTATGGGTCCTTGTGTAGCCATCCTTCAATTCAGTAACAATATTTTCTGGTCACCTCTAATATGTATTGTATTAAAATAAGATGATTGGAAGGAAATGGTGCTAGAACTAAAGACACCTATTATCAACCTCTACCCCGCTCCTGGGTTGGCAAACGGTCAAAATGCCATCACCTACCACCCCCACACCTGTGGCAGATACTATGAACTAACTGAGCCCAGATGTTCCTCTGGATCCTTCTAACCACAGTGTCTATTAATACCAGAAGACTAGAGGCCATCACTACATGACACCTGTTTACCCTCCCTGCTGTGCTCCCAGGGCCGCCCCAGTTCTAGTCTGTTGGTGGCCAAGTACAACATGGATGTTCTGCACTCAGTGGATTTAAAGGGAGTTGTAAAAACTACTTGTTGTAAAACTTTTATTTGATACTTTATTTTATCCATAATAGAATGTATCTCATTAGGTTTCTTTATTCTGTTATAAGGATGTGAACAGATTCATATTAATGTTGTTTCTCTCCAAATTCGCTCACCTTTAAAGAATAGTTTTATTGATTTAATGGTTTTTCTTTGTTACTACATGATTGTTCCAGATCTGGGGAACAGAAAGTTACTTTATCCTTTAAAATGTGTCAATGGGGAGTTTCCATTTGAGTGGTGAAAAAGTTCTGAAACTGGACAGTGGTGGTGTTGGCACAACATGCCTCTGAATTGTATACTTTAAAATGGTTAAGATGATAACTTTTATGTGGTTTTGCCACAATTTTTTAACGTGTTGGCCCATTTTATGGTATGTAAATTACATCTCAATAAAACTGTTAAATAAATAAACGTAGCAAAAATATCAGAACTGAAAAAAACACGCCAGTCATTTGCCCCAAGAGTGCAAACTATAAAATAAGTTATTGAAGGGAGGTCAGGAGAGGGTAGGAGTGAATATAAAGTGAGAATAAGAGAGTGTGTTTGTTCTCTGTTGCTGTATAACAAATTACTGCCCAATTTAGCAGCATAAAACAATAAACATTTATTACTTCCCACACTATAGGGGGGTCAGGGCTCTAGGAGTGGTTTAGCTGGGTGGTCCTGGCTCAGGGCCTCTCATGAGATTATAGTCAAGCAGCTGGCCTGGGCTGCAGTCATCTGAAGGCTTGTCCGGGGCCAGTGGATCCCCTTCTAAGATGACTCAGTCACAAGGCTCTTGGTTGGAGGCCTGTGTTCCTCGCCCTGTGGGCTTCCCCACAGGCTGCTTGAATAGCCTCACACATGGCAGGCAACCTCCAGTGGAGCAAGTCGTCTGGAGAGACACAGAGCAAGAGGAGGTTACCGTGTGCCTTAATAACTCCACCTCCAAAGTGCTACCGTGTCACTTCTACCTTTTTGTGCTTCCTTAAAAATGAGTCACAAAGTCCAACCTTTACACAAGTGAGGAGAATTTAGGTCCTGCCTTTTGAAGGAAGTGTCAGATATGTGGACATATTTGATACCACCATGGACAACAGAGGAGAATGGGCGAATGGAGCCCCCTGGGGAATAGATTGTCTGATCAAGGCCACATGCATTTATCAAATTCTGGTAGTTGAAGATAGATGGGAGAAAAAGCATCCAACTTTGCTATTTAGTGGTTAGAAGGACCATGGACTAATCATTTAACCCTCTCTACGCCTCAGGGTTTTTTACTGGTAGGGTGATGGGTGGGTTGAATTGAGTAGATACGTTTTGCCCAGAACAATGCCTGACACATAGTATATGTTAAATAGATGGTGGTTGACTGACTCTCAGAGGACTGAATTCCAGTGTAAGAATGTGAAATAAAACTGTGCTGGGGCACCTGGGTAGCTCAGTCAGTTAGGCACCCAACTCTTGAATGTGGCTCAGGTCATGATCTCAGAGTTGTCAGATCAAGCCCTATGTCGGGCTCTGCACTCAGCAAGAAGTCTGCTTGAGATTCTTTCTCTCTCCCTCTGCCCCTCCCCCGCCAACTCTCTCAAATAAATCATAAAAAAAAAACTGCTAAAAATAGCCTGAGACTGTGCTCCATCTTGGAAAACATTCGTTTCCTAAAAATATTTAAAAAACTAATTTTTTGAATGCTTACTATATTCCAAGTATTGTACAAGGTGCTTTAAAAGAATTATCTTGTTGCCCAAGAAAAATAAAGGCAATTTTCTTCTTAAGAAAAAAATAAAAGAATTATCTCGTTTAATATAATTTTAAACTAACCAGAGGTAATGTTTATAAAATCTGTTCAATCTTAATTATAAAAGACATACTTGGTTTTCACCCCCCTTACGTTTTAAAAATATCCAATCTTTATCCAAACATATAATTACTTAAATCAAGAAAATAAGAAGAGGGGCACCTGGGTGGCTCCGTTGTTAAGCATCTGCTTTCGGCTCAGGTCATGATCCTAGGGTCCTGGGATCAAGCCCCATGTCGGGCTCCTGGCTCAGCAGGAAGCCTGCTTCGCCCTCTCCCACTCCCCCTGCTTGTGTTCGCTCTCTTGCTGTGTCTCTCTCTGTCAGATGAATGGATAAAATCTTTAAAAAATAAATAAATAAATAAAAGAATTATTTTGTTTTTTTTAAAAAGTTCACCAGAGAAATATCCCGTGTCAATCAACAAACAAATGGATAAACGAATATTATTCAGCCATAAAAAGAAGTGGAGTTCTGATACATGCTTCAACATGGGTGAACCTTGAAAATATTAAACTACAAAGCCAGACACAAAAGGGTAGATATTATGTGATTCCACTTACGTGAAATGCCAAGAATAGGCAAATTAACAGAGACAGAAATTAGATTAGAGGTTACCAGGGGCTGAGGGGAAGGAAGAACTGGAGCTATTACTCAATGGATAGAGTTTCTTTTGGGGTGATGAAGACATTTTAGAAATAGCGGTGATGATTGCACAATAGTGTCACTGTAATTTTTTTTAAAGATTTTATTTATTTATTTGAGAGAGAGATAGTGAGAGAGAGCATGAGAAGGGAGAGGGTCAGAGGGAGAAGCAGACTCCCCGCTGAGCAAGGAGCCCGACGCAGGACTCGATCCCGGGACTCCAAGATCATGACCTGAGCTGAAGGCCTTCGCTTAACCAACTGAGCCCCCCAGGCACCCAGTGTAACTGTAATTAATGCCGTTAAATCATACACTTAAGGTTGGTTAAAATGACAAATTTTACATATATAGAAATTTATATAGAGAGAAATGACAAATTTTATAGAGAGAGAGAATTTATCTCCTATATATAGAATTCTATATGTAGAATATAAATTCTATATATATATATAGAGAGAGGGGGAGACACAGAGAATGGAGTTTAGGTCCTCCAACCTACCAATATAGCTGCACTTTTAGTTCTTTCATAGATTGGACTCCCGTATAAGACAAAACTAACATGGTGAGAGAAGTCACAAAATTCTTTCCTTGGGGAGAAGGAGTACTGACTGGGAAGGAGCATGATGAAACCTTTCGGGGTCCAGAAGATGCTCTGTATCTTGGTCTGGGTGGTCTTTACATGGCTGTATCCATATGTAAAAATTCACTAAGAAGTATGCTCAAGTTTTGTACTTTATGGTTTATATGTTATACCTAATTAACAAGTACTTTAAAATAACACCTGCCCTTAGAGCAAGAGAGCACTACATATTTATCTCATGTTACCCAAATGTGCTTGGAAACCTGCAAATAATTGTAAAGAAAACATTTTACATGCTGCAAAGACATTCACTATTTGAAGAAGCCTTTTTGTGATTCCTTTTGTAAACACAAATTTAGGTTTTTGTGTTTATCAAACCTGAACGCATCGATTTGGCATTCCTCAATTGAGATTTTGCTCCCCTG